GGTCAAAAAATCAAAGAGAAAGATATACCAAGCATAAATATCTATGCACCAAATACTGGTGCATAGAACTATATAAAAATACTAATGCGCAAGAAAAAACAAATAAGCAGTGATACAACAGTAGTGGGGGACCTCAATACCTCCCTGTCACAAATAGATGAATCAACTAGACAGAAAATAAACAAAAATTATATAGCTTAAATTCTTAAACAAATAGAATTTACAGATGTTTACAGAGAGTTCCACCCACAACATAAGAATACACATTCTTTCTGGCTGCACGTGGGTCATTTGGCAAAATAGATCACATACTTGCTCATAGAACATGATTAAGCAAGTGCAAAGAAATTGAAGTTATCCCCTGTGTATTATCAAACCATAATGTGATGAAATTGCAGATCAATAGCCAAAGAAATTGCAATAATGTCATAAATACATGGAAATTAAATAGCACACTTCTGAATAACCTGGAGGTCACAGAAGAAATTAAAGAAAAACTTAGAAAGTTTCTACAAATAAATGATGTCAGGACAACATAGTGAAATCTATGGAACATAATGAAAACAATCTTATGGGAAATTCATAGCAGTAAATACTTATATTAGGAAAATGGAGTGAATTCAAACAACCTGATGCTCATCCTCAAGCTTCTAGAAAAAGAAGAACAGTCCAAACCAAAACCTCACATAAGGGAGGAAAATACAAAGAGAAGAAATCAATGCAATAGAGACTAGAGAACAATACAAAAAATCCATGGAGCAAAGTGTTGGTTCTTCAAAAAATATACAAAATTGACAAACTCTTTGCCAACCTTATTATTAAAAAGAAAGAAAAAACTCAAATATATGCAATTAAAAAAAAGGGTGAAATTACAATGGATCCATCAGAAATTCAGAGAATCATCAACACCTAATTTGAGAACCTATATGCAGGAAAGACAGAAAACACAGAAGAAATGGACAGATTCCTAATACATATGAATTCCCAAAATTGAATAAATGACCTAAGATTTATAAACCACCCAATATCAATCAACAAAATTGAAAATGTAATTAAAAACTTACCAATGAAGAAAGCCAAGGCACTGATAACTTCCGTGCTGAATTTCACAATACAATTAGAGAATAACTGTTGCCACTGCTGTTTAAACTCTTCAGTGAAATTGGAAGGTAAGCAATACTTCCAATTAAATTTCTGTAAGCAAGCATCACCTTGATTTCAAAAGCAAAGAAAGACCCAACTTAAAATGAGAACTATTGGCCAGTCTCCCTAATGAACATAACTGCAAAACTCCTCAATAAGATTCTGGCAGAATAGAATAGAATAGAATAGAATAGAATGCAGAAGATTGTCAAGAAGATCATACAATCTGACAAAGTGGGATTCATCCCAGGGAGGCAGGGTTGTTTCAACATATGCAAATCAATAAATGTAATACACTTTATTTATGGTGCCAAGGACAAAAAATAAATGATCTCAATAGATGCATAAAAAACTTTTGAAAAAAAAATCCCCTACAAATTCATAGTAGAAAGCTTAGAAAAAATTGGAATAGATGGTCTCTATGCCAATCTTATAAAAGCCATCTATGAAAAACTAATAACCAACATCATACTAAACAGTCAAGTACTGAAATCCTTTATGCTAAAATCAGGAAAAAGACAAGGATTTCTTCTATCACCACTGCTGTTCAAAATAGTTTTGGAAACATTATCCACATCAATTAGACAAGAGAAAGAAATGAAAGTAATAAAGATTGTAAATGTAGAAGACAAAATGTCATTTGGGAACAACAGGATACTCTATATAGAAAACCCCAAAACTCCACAAAAAGTATTCTGGAATTAATAACCAAATTCAGTGGAGTAGCTGGATACAAGGTCAACATACAAAAATTAATAGCTTTCCTGTACATGAAAAAGAGTGAAAAGGGAACTCGAGAAACAACTCCCTTCACAAGAGAATTAAAAAAATGAAATACTTAACAATCAACATAATGAAGGAATTCAAATACCGCTACTCTGTAAACTATGGCACTCTGAAAAAAGAGATTAAAAAGCATATCTGAATATGGAAAGGCATCCTTGCACCTTGGTAGGAAGAATCAATATAGTGAAAATGACCATACTTCCAAAACTTCTATATAGATTCAATACAATCACAATCAAAATTCCAACATCATACTTCACAGAATTTGAGAAAACAATCCAAAAATTCATTTGAACCAGAAAGAGACCCATAATGGCAAAAGCACTTCTAGGCAACAAAGACAAGGTGGGGGTATCAAAATTTCCAACTTGAAATCATACTACAAATCTATTGCCATAAAGAAAGCATGTCACTGGCAAAGAAACACACTAGGGGATCAGCAAAACTGATTTGAAGATGCAGAAACAAGTCCAGACACATTCCACCACCTCACCTTTAACAAAGCAGCAAAACATCCTCACTGAGGAAAGACAGCCTCTTTAATAAATGGTGTTGGAAATATTGGGTTTCAACTTGCTAAAGATTAAAACTAGACCTATATCTTTCAATGTGCACTAAAATAAAAATAGATTAGATCTAAATATTAAAACAGAAGAACAAACCTGGCTGGAAGAGAGATTAGGTAGAATTCTTGAAGATGTAGGAAAAGATTTCATGCATAAAAATGTGGTTCCACATGTGAACTCACACAAAGCTTCAACAAGTGGGAACTCTTCTTGTTAAAAAGCTCTGCATAGCAAAAGAAACCATCAACTGAATGAAGAGACAACCCACAGTGTGGGAAAAAGTTTTACCAGCTGTTGCTTGGACAATAGTATACTTTCTAAAATATATAAAAAACTTAAAAAAAGAAGACCTCCCAAATTTAAAGATTCAGTACAAAAATGGGTATCTGAAATGAACAGACACCTCTCCAACAAAGATGCAGAAATAGAAAATAAACACCTGAGAAAATGTTCACTATCATTAGCCATTTGAGAGGGACAAATGAAAACAAAGCTAAGATTCCATTTCACCCAAGGAAAACTGGCTGCTATTATGAAATCAACCAATATCAAATGCTGGCTAGGTTGTGGGGATAAATGAACACTTCTCCTCTGTTCTTGGATGTGTAAACTGGTGCAACTACTGTGGAAATCAGTATGGAGATACCTGAAAGAACTAGGACTAGAGGTTGATTTGATCTAACTATTCCCCTACTGGGTATTTTCCCAAAATAGTAAGAGAATCATACTACAGCAGTATATGTGCACACATGTTCATAGTCCTTTTTTTGTAATAGCTAAAACTTGGAAACAGCCTAATTGTCCATCAACTGGAGAATAAAGAAAAAAATAATGAGTACTACTCAGCCATAAAGAATGAGAAATTAGGTTCATTTATAGCTAAATATATGCACTTGTCATTACTCTTAAGTGAAATAGATAGAATAAAAATGTGTATATACAGGATGGTTTAATGTGTATATACATGATGGTGTAAATAAGGATCAAAATGTATAGTAGACATGTGAAATAGGAAGAAAACTTGAAAAGGAGAAGGAGAAATGGGAGGGGTAGGAAAATGAAAGAGGGGAATGGAATAGACATCAGAAAAGGAACAAATGGAAAGAAAGTTTTTGTAAATAGGGATGGGAGGAGGGGTTGATGAGTGGGTAGGAGGATGGGGAAATTAAGAATCAAGATATATTATTTAAAGGTAAAAATCTCTAATGATGAATGTCACTATTTTGTATACCTAAGATGTACCAATAAAATTAATAAAAAAGAAAAAATACAATATCTAAGAAGATCTGAAAATAATATACTGTAAATATCTCTTTGCTATAGCAATTTCTCCCATTTTTCTATAAAGCATTATTGAGCCATAGAAAGATACAATTGGCTACATATAGATTCATAAAATTAGGCAGTATGTGTGTGGTATTATGTAGAAAAAACAGAAAAAGCAATAAATTATGAAATATAAAGTAATAGTAAATGTGAAGAATATGGTAAGATTTATGTAGCAGTTCCTGTTAAGGAATAAAAGGAAAATAATGACATTAGGTAACAATAACAAAGCTGATCACTTAAGAGAGGGTAAATCATAGGTAGTGAAGATTAATCTAGAGTAAAATAAAATAAAAAATACTAAGGGAACAAGTTGAAAGATAGAAAGTGAGTAAGGAAGTGAGGAGATAGAGAGTAAATGAAGGTCTATTCACCCAAATAAATCAAAGTATAAATAAATCAATATTAAAAGGAAGGACAACAAAATGCTTTATAAAACTTCAAACTCCATGAAAAAAAAAATAGTGAAAAATCTAAAATGTTGCTCAAATTGGGAAGAAAAGGGGGGGGGGTCCTATGTATTTCCAGAAGAGCATTTTCTTCCAAGGTCAGAAGTTTTTAATCTTATAATTCACACTTCTGTTTGCCTCTTTTTATAGTCTCTGAGTTTGTATGAGGGGGTTGCTCAGTTCAAGGGGCCTCTCTTCATAGTCCCATTTGTGGCCATTTTTCAAGTTAGGTAACCAGACAAGAGAAACCGTGGGGCCTCATTTCAGAGGTTCCTGTTTTGAATTCCTTTTAGTTGAGACCAATGTTGGCTACCCAGTATATTTTCCAGTGTCTGTGGGACAGGATCCCCATATGTGGAAGCTTCTGTGGCTTCTCAGACCTGACTCCCAGTTCTGTGAATGCTCAGACAAGAAAAAAATCTGCCCAGGACTAATGTGGGCAAATTTCTAAGAGCCCACTGGGGGCACAGATCACTAGGTGGTGTCTTGTGATTGTCTGGAGTACTGGGCAGAATAGGCAGTCATTAACCTTGTTTACCAAGCAGAAGACTGGCTATTGAATCAGGCAGGCACTGTGTCCAGTATTCTGCCTGCATGAAAAGTGCAGATTCCACTTTGTTCAGAATGCTTGGAATGCTCTTGTGTAAACCCTTGCTCCCCAGGGTGTTAGGCTATTTTCCTGGTATAAATTCTTGTGGGCAGTGAGTCCTCAGTGTAGGCTCCAGTGAGCCCATAGTGCTGAGTATGTACTCAAACGAGATCAATGCTAGCTCCGTGTGCTGGATGGAAGTCCCAGTTTCCTTGGGATAAACTGCAAACTCCTGGTGGTGACTCAGGTTTGTTTGGGGTCTAATATTGCAGGCTCTCAATGGAGGCAGCAGTTGCTTATTTATCCACACAAAATTGGAGAAAAAATAGGTTGGTTTGGAGAGGCAGTAGTTTCCTGGTCACTAACCCTTGATTTATATTAGTGAAAAATGCTGCCATTCTACAGCATCCTTTGTTTGCAAAGGAAATGATGAAGTAAAGGGGCCATATACCCAAGGCTGTTTTGTGTGCCTTGACTTACATGTGCTACTTTGATACTACCAGCTATTTCAAAACTTCTCAAAATGGAAATTCCTGCATTTGTCACCTGCTGAGACACTTACCAGACTGTCTGCCCTCTGGTAAACTCGTGCATTTGTTTGATTGATGTGCAAGTGTTTTATTTCAAGTTGTTTTTTTGCATCCATGTTTTAAGTCCTTTCCTTTCTTCCATTACCTGTTTATAAAATTGATCTTATCTGAGTTTCTCAGATGTGACTCCTCCTCTATTCAGCCATGTTGTTCCCCCCAAGGAGGTTTTCATTTTATCCCATAGGTTTTGGTATGAAGTTCTGCCAATATAGTTTCATGGTAGAAACTAATTTCTTCTCAAGTTTCATCTTTGACCTATTTATTACTCTGAAAAGTATTGTTTATCTTGTGTTTGCACAATTTATGTGTTTACATAATTGATTTTCCGCACTATGTGCAGAAAGTGTACTATGATCTGGTAATATGCATGGGATAGTTCTGATTATTTCGCATTTACTTAATTGTGGGCTAGTATGTGGTCTATTTTGGAGCAAGTCCCACTTGATGCTGAGAATGTGCATTCTGTGGTTTTTTAATTGACGACTCTGTGGATATGTATTAGATGCATTTGTACAAATGTTTGGTTCAATTCTGATAATTCTGTTTTGATTTTTTTTTCTAGTTGAATCTGTTCATTTGTGACAGTAAAATATTGAGTTCCGCCATTACTACTGTAGTGGTGTTTACCTGATTTTTCACATCTAACATTGATTGTTTTATGAAGAATTGTGTGATAGTCTTTGGTGCATATATGTTTATAATTGCTTACTCTTCCTGTTTATTCCCTCAAGTGATACATAGTGAACTTTCTTGGGTCTTCTGAAATGTCTTAGCTTAAAATCCACTTTGTCTGAATTTAGGATAGCAACTCTTACTTGTTTCAGCGTTCTTGTTGCTTGGAATATTGTTTTTTATTCTTTAACTTTAACCTGTGAGTATGTTTTGAATTAAATATGTTTCTTGTATTCAGCCTATTGTTTTCTTTCTTAATCCATTCTGCCTAAATATGTCTTTTGATTGCAGAATTGAGAATATTCACATTGATAGTGTTACTGAGAGGTATTGATTTATTTCTGTTATTGCATTATTTTCCTTTTACTGATTTTCTCATCCTCCCTTTCCTTTGCTCAGCTGCTCATCCCATCAGTTTTATTCATTTTTTTAGAAAAATTTAACTCTGTTGGATAAATTTTCTCTTTCTAGCTTGTCCTTGAGACTTTTTGTAGTGCTAGTTTAATGGTCATGAATTTCTTGAGGTGCTTCTTGTCATGTAAATGCCTTACTTCTCCTTAACTTTAATGGAAAGTTTTGAAGGATACATAATTTGGAGTTTGAAATTGTTATTTTATAGGGCATGAAACACTTCACTGTTAGCTCTCCTTCCCTTTAAGATTTGTGTTGATGTCTGCTCTGATTCCAATGGAATTTTTCTTTTGTATGTGATATCTTATCACTCTCTAACAGCTTTAGTAAATTTATACCTATGATGGTCTTCTCGAATTTTTAGTATAATGTGGGATAGAGATTTTCCATTTTGGCTATTTGGTATTCTATGTGCTTCAGTTATCTGCATGTTTATTTCTTTCCTTATATCCTATATGTCAGGGGATGGGTTAGGAAATAAATGTTTGACTGCCTCAAATTTGTGCCATATATGGATGGAGGAGCTAAAAACCTCAACTGTCAATGGGTAAAGACGTGAGGCTGACTGTAATATAGAAGGGCCTTCTTGGCTATGAGTGATTAACTTTACATTTTGGAACTCTGAAATTAGGTGTATGAAGCCATTTGCAATTTTGGGCACCTTCATGTGATAGGGTAGTCTTTCAGGGGATATTTCCCCTGTAGTGGCAATACTCAGATGTGGTAGCATTTAGACTACCCTAGAGGGAAGTGTACCAAGATAACTGCAAAAGAGTTCCCAGATGGTTAAAATTGTGATCAGAAGGTGGGCAGAAATGGCTACTAGCCTTGCAGAGGAAGGCATCTGAGGAACCATTTGGAGTAAAATAATCTTGTTTGGTTTAAGAAATGCACACAAAACAGCTCAGGTTAGATTGAGCCAATTTTGGGAAGGACAGGTTATGTCCTACTCTGGCAGTCAATGAACCTGTAAGTCTTATTAGATACATGTTAGTGCTCCTGGGATTCTGATGTCAGGAGCTTCAGCTAGGACTGTGCCCCTGGGGCTGGCAGTCTCAGTTTATTGTATCCCTATAGAAGTATTTATCCATATCACAAAAGGAGCAGAGCTTACTGAATAATCTGCTGTCTGGGAGAGATGGAGGAAACCTAGCAGGGCAGTTGGATGGTTCCATTAAAAGTTTAGAGAATTTTAGCTGTGTGAGAGAGTGTCTGAATAAAGTATCTTAGAAAGGTCTGTATTTTGGTGTTAGGGATTAAGAGGATGAGTAATAGTGAAAAAGAAAGGATCAGAGCAAGAGAACACAGGAAGGAGAGATGGTGATTTGTTCTATGGAGAAATCTGAGATGATTCCCTGTAGGGTGATCTTGTATTATAGTATCTAGGAAGGAAGAGGACAAAAAACGGGGCAATTATTCTATTAGTATAGTCAAGAAATGGGCTTAGTTATGAATACAAAGACTCATGAGGTTATCTAACTTCCTTAAACCTGTTCAGTCATAGGATGCAGCTTGGTGAACTTCAAGCCTGTGGGTCTGGTCGGTGTGCACTGGAAAAGGGGAGCTATTTTTTTAGAGTAAAATGTACCCAGCAAGAATGGCCTTATAATTCTGACAAGTTGAGGTGGTCACAATAACTTGAAAGGGCTCTAAAAGGGGTTGGCGAGTTGTATGGAGGAGTGAGGCTGTCTAGGTTGTTTGAGTGTTTTGGGAGGGTGGAGTCAGTGTAGTTCCAGACAAAATACCTAAAGTGTTAAGTAAGGAATTTGAAAGAGGAATAACTACATATATTCCCATTTCTTGGCCTTCATCATTGTTTTAAAGGATAAGGTAAAATTATATGTACAGATAAACTAGGCAGAGTGACTCCTGCCGGTGATCTCAGCAATCTGTGAGGCTGAGGGAAGAGGATTACAAGTTTGAACCCAGCCTGTACACCTTGGTGACTTAGGAAACTACTGCCTCAAACTAAAAAAAAAAAAAAAAAAAAAAAAAAACCAAAAATACAGAGCAGGGATACA